TCAAGGGTTTGTTTATAAACGTCTTGTACATCTCTAGAAGAACTACATAATAAAAATGTGGCTGTGTGAATTAGCCCAGGTGAGCTCTGGATCTGGTTGAGCTTGGTGCTTTCTGTGTTTTGTGGGTGATGCAGTCTGTAATTCAGACATACCTGGATCCCTCTGTATTTGAAATGCATCCTGTTTGACTTCTCCAGTTTTTTTAAAATCTTGGCTTCCATTTCTTTAAAGAAACTTTCTTGTGCTTGTGTTGCAGATGAAAATTCAATACAACAACTAGGGAGAGCCAAGAAGCAAAGAATTAACAAATCTTTTTTTTTTTAAGAAATGAGGGGTTGGAGTGTATTATTTAAAACCTTTTTAATGACTTTTCATGATCTGTAGAAATTGAGAGGGATTAGTAATGGAAGAAAATCTTAATGAGTTTAAAAAAAATTTACTTTTTGTCCTTAAGCTTTAGCTTGATTTTTGAAATGCACATAATAATTACTTCTCTTTGTAAGCTTTGTCATGTGGAGTGGAGCTGTTCTTTGCTGTCTCTGTGGGGTTGTTCTGATTGTTCCTTTTCATGGGAGCTTGGAATCTTCAGAGGAGCAGAGAGCACAGAGCAGTTCTGGAGCTTCCTAAGTTTGTAAGAACAGTAGGGATGTGTTAGATCCACTGATCCAGCTGGGAAAGGTCAGACAAAAAAGCTCTCAGACCCAAGAGTTAGGGCTGAAACATTGCTGTGTTTTGGTGTCTTTAGTCTGGCAGCAGTGAGTGATCCTGGGGCAAGTGGGGAAGGAGCTGAGGCTTACCTCAAATCCATCTTTTTGCTTCCAAAGAGCAGAAGCCTTTGTTTCCCACAGAGACATGGAAACTCCCGAGCTCAGACTCCCCTGAGCAATGTCTTTCTCTGAAACCAATTATTCATCAATTCCAGGGTACAAGGAGCATCTCTGCTTGTGCTTCCTACTCATCAGAGGAGGGCTGAAATGTAGGAGCACCTCTGTGATTTACAAAGGGAAGCAGTTCCATGTTGAAAGGGAATCTTCACATTAAACTGATGAGGAAACCAGGAAACCACAGCCATGCTGAGGCTGACAAAGCAGAGCTTCAAAGGAGACAGCTGGCTCAGCATGTGAGAGCCAGGCAGGGACAGATTAAACTCCAAAGAGGAAGTTCTGTTTTAGTTAAAAAAAAAAAAAATTGTGTGGTTTTTATACTGCCTTTAATACTGTGTCTCCTGTGACTGTTGCTGCTGGCTTTCTGGACTAATTAAGTTACTTTTATGTTAACGTACAAAGTGGTTGTTATTTCCCTGCAGAGAACTCACTGTGAGCACGTCCAGGTGTTGTGGGCTCGTCCTTTATTTTAAACTGGGTCATAAGCCTGAGTTTCCTGCTGTGAAATACCACTGAAATGCTGACTGATTTTGTGAATTCTCAACCTGCACATTAAGTAGGGATTTAAATAACTGTGAATGTCAAACACCTTTTCAATTCTATATTAAAAATGTGTTCTAATTGCTCTTACTCCTCCCATCAGTGTCACCAGCTCCCTGTAGAAGAAGAAGCCCTGTTACAAGAAAATTATTGCTCCAATGCTAATGTTGTGCCAGCAGAGAGCTCTTGGATTTACAAGCCTATTCTTTTCATGACTAATGTGGATAGTTTGCCATTTTGAAGCATCATTTTACTTGCAGCCTTTAGAGGGTTTTAATACTTTTTCCCTCCCCCCCACAGGAAAACTTGGAGAAAAATGGTTCTCGTGTTCTTGATCTTGAGCTGGAGTTTGATGAGCGTGCAGTGCTCATGGAGAACATTGTCTATTTGACAAATTCCCTGGAGGTGGGTACAGACCTGGCACCTACCACTTGGCATTTATTGGGGTAGCTGGAGCAGCAGCCTTCCCTAAGGCTCTAAGCCTATTTATTAACTTCTGGGTGTGCATAGCTCAGGTAACAGTTTTCTATCAGCTTTGTCTCCATTTGTCACGTAGATGGATATGGATCTGCTCAGTGTTGGCATGAGGTACAGGGGTGGGTGTGCACTGCAAGCATGGGCCCAGAAGCCAGGGCTGCTTTTCACTGCAGTACTGGTGCAGCTGTGACAGGGACGTCCACTGGCACTTTGAGGACACGTTTTTCTCTGAGCCAGTCTGTATCTCACATTTCCAGCTGAAGAAATGGGAAGGAGCTGCTTCAAGGCATTAGCAAGACCCCTCAGTCCTTGGGCACCTACACTGGTATGCTGGCCACAGCAGGCTGGCTTCCCTCTGCAAGGAGCAGGCCCTGGGCAGGGCTTTTCACACTGTGCTGTGTGAAAGGCATCCAGCCTGGCAGCAGTTGTGCTGCTTCATATGATGAGCAGAATTTAATTTAATAGGGGCATGGTAATGAGGGGACAGCTCAGGCACGTGGTGTTAAAAAACCCCAAACAAACAAAACCAAGCAACCCCAACACCAAAAGCCAAAATCAAAAGCAACTGTTTTTTAAGAATTAGAAACTATACATATTGCAGGGCTGGATGTAACCTGTGCAGTGTGAAACAAGTGTGACTTTATTGGGCTTGTCCCATGTCAGAGCAAAGCTGAGAGCGAGCAGCAGCTTTTACTTAAACTCTCTGTAAACCTTCAAAGCCCCCTGACATGGGGGAGGGAGCAGTGTGTCCTCAGAACAGCCAGAGGGGCTGGGAGGTCTCTGGGGGTCCCTGTCCCCAGACACTGACAGTGGGGTCTTGGGCACCTCACACTGGGAGTAGGTGACCCTCAGAGGTCTCTTCCAAACAAGATGTTGTTGCTTCACTTGTGCTTTTGTTGCTTTATGACAGTGCAGGTTTGCTTTCCCCTTTCCTACATGAACAGCTGTTTCATGGGACTGTAACCTCTGCTGTTCCCTCCAAAGCCGTTAAAATCCTGCTTATTCCCTCCTCCCCATTTTTTCTTTTACAGCTGGATCACATTGAGGTGAAGTTTGCTTCTGAAGCAGAAGATAAAATCAAAGAAGACTGCTGTCCTGGAAAACCATTTTCTGTATTCAGAACTGAGGTAATATCAGAAATTCAGATATTGAAAGTCTGAAAACTTCATTAAAAAACTTACATTGAAACTGTACTTTTGTCTGGGTTTTTTTAAACATGCCATTTAAAAACTCTGATCAGACATGAATGTTTATCATGTATGAATATTTCTAACTCTCAAAGTAAAAATGTCATGATTTCCCTAAATATGTTTTAAACCCTTGTTACACTTTGGGCTGCATTTTAGAGTTGGGGCAGTGCTGGTATCCAGCCTGGTCAGGCAGGTTCTAATGGGATTTTATCCCTCTGGAAGATTCATTAACAGCAGATGTTTGTTTGGTTTAGTTTCCTGTTTCTCCTGAGGGATCACATGCAGGGTTCTCCTTTAAGGTCTGTGTTGTTTCTCACAGCCTGGCGTGTCCGTGTTCCTGGTGAACCCTCAGCCCTCCAACGGCCACTTCTCCACCAAAATGGACATCAGGCAAGGGGACAACAGAGAGAGCATCATCAGGCGCCTGATGAAGATGGACAGAGGGATCAAAGGTAGCCACCAGTGCAGCTGTGCCAGCTGTGCCAGCTGCTGAGGGCGTGCACACAGGGGTGGGACATGCCCTGTGTGTGCAGGGATGTGTCACTGCCAGCTCCTGGCGTGGAGGTTGGGCAATGACTGAGGTGAAGCAGGGACTCCCTCCCTGCCTTCCCAGGAGGTGTCAGTGTGCTGTTGGGCACGGGGCTGGAAGGCTGCACTTGCAGGAAGCCTTAGCTGCAGGGTCCCAGGCTTCTTGGTCTGCTTAATCCCAAATCTTAGTCTGCCTGTGGATGGGGAATTGTATTGAAATCAACTCTCACCTTCCCCTTCCTCCCAGTCTCTGCAGTTCACTCCTCAGAAAATGAGGAATAATTGTTCAGTTACTCAGACCTGTCCTGAGCCAGATAAAGCAAATTCAGTGCTTGGAATGTGGTATTAGGAGCTGGTGTTTCTGTGTGGTTTATCCCTGTTTCTGTTGGTAACTCGCTGTGTAACCCCTGAAGGACATTGCTGGATTGGTGGAAACCTCAGCATGAGTTATTCCCATGAGAATGCATTTCCCTGGAGCAGGTGTGGAAGTTCCAAGGTTCAGCATTGCTGTGGTCTGTGTACAGCTCCCATGGCCTGACAGCTGCTCTCTCTGTGCAGATCTCTCCAAAGTGAAGCTGATGAGGTTTGATGATCCTGTGCTTGGGCCCCGCCGTGTTCCAGTCCTTGGCAAAGAGGAAGCAGGGAAAACTCCAATCCTGGAGCAAGCCATCTTCCACATTGACCTGGCCCAGAGGCACGTCTGTGTCACTGAGAATGGCCTGACAAGGGACATTGGGGACACAATTGTTTACCTGGTTCATTAACTGCTGTGTGTCTAGTGAGAAGGTTCATGGAGGGACTTGGGAGCATTTGTATTAAACAAAGGGGAGAAATTGTTCTGTAAAAATAAAAAGCCCACTCAAACCAACCTGAGTTCCCATGTGAGTTGCCCCTGCTCATTTAAACAGGGATTTAATAAAATTATTTTCCTCTGGTGCTTCAGCTTCTCTTGGAAAGAAACAGTTACCCTGGAGCCCCTTCTTTTCCAGCTGTGGGCAGGGTCTTCAGGAACAAATTTGAATGTCATGCTTAGAATTCCACTCCTTCCTCCAGGGAGCTGTGCTGCTTCCCAGCTGCATTCAGCTCCCCCCGAAGCTGCTCCAGCCAGAGGCTTTAACTGCAGAGCCTGGTGCTGCCTGCCTGGGGAGAGGGTGGCCCTGGCAGCTACAGTGCCACAAGGCCAGGAGCACCATGGGCACCTGTGCTGCCTCAAAGGCCTTCTGGCACACTGGATGTCTGGGGTCTCATCATTGTTTGTTCTCTCCTGGTGCTGCCTCAGGTGCTTTTATTCCATTTCATACCCACAGCCAGGTCACCCCCTCCCCTTGCCATCTGTTCCCAAGAGGCAAAACCTGAAATAAGAAAGTGAAAATAAACATGCTTTCATGCAAAAGGTTTTAATGGTGCCACAGCAGCTCCCAGAGGCTGGTGTCTCACACGGTGGGTGCCAAAGCTTTCCTGAGCCCCATTTTCCCCAGTGCACCCCCCAGTGCTTGCAGTGCATAAGGGGCTGTAATCCATTTGACCCCAATTAATTTAATTATCTACAGGCTACAGAGCTAAGCATAGTGCTATAAACTTAGATGAATAAACTTCTGAAAACTTAAAATGTCTTTAAACTATTGCTTTTTTTTTTTTTTACAGAAATACAAAATAAATAGCTTGAGGATTAATACAAAACAGTAAACTAATATCTTCTTGTTTATTGACTTTTCTCCCAAATAGTACCTTAAATTGAAAAAGCCTTTTTAAAAAATTAACTTCATGGAAAAAATACTCAGCATCCCTGGATTTGTACAAGTGTCTCTGAACAATAAACTAAATATATTTTATTTAGTCCTCCTACCCATCACCAACTAAGCAAATATTATGCATCCTACTGTTTCTAAGATATATATATATATATATATGTAAAAATAGTAATTTATGATTTCTCACTGATGGTGACCTGGCTGTAACATTTCACTGGAGCATTCCCTGGGCTGGATGCAGAAAGCAGACAATGGAACTCCCTGTTTGGTTGTGTAAAGGATTAGGGAACTTTTGTTGGCCCTTCTGCCTGTAGGATCTATTTTGGCTGTGACTTTGGTGTGGATAGATCTTTCCCCCCTCAGCTCCCTCCCCAGCCTGCCACGGGTCCCTGTGTGCTGTTCCCCAGGCAGTCTCGGCTCTGATGGATCCCGTTGGGAGCAAAGGGAGCAGCCAGGGCAGCTCCCACGGGCTTCATGGGCAGTCTGGGGTTCTAAACTGATTTCATGGATATTTGGAAGTGTTACTTTTCAAATGGCACAGGTACTGAAGTTTATACAAAAAACCTGAAATGCCTTGAGCTGTGATTACACTTCAAACATGCTGCTTCACAAACTAACTGCAGTGACTGTTGGGCAGTGAATAAACCTCCTAAGAATGATAAATGTGTGATTTTACACAGTCCCAGGCTGCTCTGGTGCTTCCAGCTAAAACCTTTCAGAGCCAGTGTTTGCATTCTTAGTTCTCAGAGGGAGAGAGGGGCTGGTGGGCTGGGTGCAATTCTGCTCATTTCTGGGTGTGCTGGGATGTGTGGCTGTGTCCCAGCCACAGAGCCAGCTGCCTTCTGGTTCATCAAAAGGATGACAGGGTCAGCACAGAGCCAGCACTGTCTGCCCCGTGGCATTCAGCTGTCCCTGAGGTGGCATCGCTGAGTTGGACTCACCCTCATTTTGCAGCTGCTGCCACCTTCTACACCTGGGCACAGCGCATGCCTTCAGCATGCCGGGGTGTTCCTGCAGGAGCTGGGGTACTGACAGGGCACAGAGTGAGCACAGATCTGTGCCTTGGAGGTTGCTGTGCCACAGAAAATCCCCACAGGCAGACCCAGCTTTCCTGCTCCACAAACAGAAGTCTGGAAGAGGGAAGCTCCAGGGGCTGTGGTGTAGTGAATTGTTTTATCCACTCCCTCTGTGTAGTTTTAGGAGAAGATGTCCCCCTCTGAGGAGCCTCCATTGACAGTGGAGTTCCTTCCCCGGGTCTGTAGGCAGGGAGCCGAGGATGGGATTTCAGGGCAGTTTCGGAGGGAGCACAGCTCCTGTCAGGAGAGGGCGGCCGTGCCTGCAGCTGGGCTGGGAGCTGCGAGGGATAAACCAGCGAGGGAAACTGAGCATGAAAACCAAAATCTGCTGCGCAGAGGTTTGGCAGAGAGCAGGCACAGCTGTGAGCCAGCAGAGCTGTGCTGGCTTCCCTGGGATTCACAGGAGAACGCTTGGATCGGGAGCTGGGAGCCAGAGCTGGGGCTGCTGGGGCACAGCGGGGTCTGGGCACGGTGAACTCTGCTCTCTCTCTCACAGACAGTGTTTCATGCTTCTGAAACCCATGAATCCCACTAAGATATTTACAGCAGCCACGTCTGAGTGGGCGGGCGGTGGGAGGGGGCTGGAAGGAGCTCATGGGCAGGAGGTAGCTGACAGGTGACCAGAGGAAAGCAAGCAGTGAGGAGAAGGGAGATTCAGTGCCCTCACTGCAGAGCCTGCGTGACTGCAGTGATGGCAAAGCCCCTTCCATTGGCTCTTTGCCTTCCAAATCACCTTTTAGGCTTCTGTGTTAAAATTCCTGGGCTAAAACCAATGAGAAAAGCAAGCAAGCAACCAGCCTAACAAAAAATCTGAGTGACCCCCTCCCCTCAAAGGCAGCATGAACCATCAGCCAGGAGCTGACTGATTCTGATTTATGGTTTCTTTATCCTGAGGCCGGCAGGTAATGAGCCGGTGTTTGATCTCTGTGGGCCTTCCTGCAGCCCTGAGGAGATCAAAGCAAGTGTCACTCCCTCCGATTCCTGCGCGCTTTCCTCCCCTGCCTGCAGCGCGGCAGCGCCCCGGGGGAGGTGGGTTCTGCGGGGTCCCGCACATCTCCCCGCCGGGCAGCCCGGGGCTCGGCGGGGTCCCGCAGAGGGGCCCGCAGCTCTCGCAAGCCCCAGCTCGCAGCTGCCGAGTGCGGGGGCGCGGGGGAGCGGCCCCTGCCCGGGGGGCGCGGGGGAGGATGCGGGGCTGGAGCGGGAGGAGGGCAGGCGCGGGCGGGCCGCTCAGTTCGCTGAGATGCTGCTGTAGCTCTTCTTGATGGGGAAGGTCAGCTGCCCCGAGAGGTCCAGCGAGAGCGCCTTGGGGTGCAGCGCCCGGCGCGGGTGCAGCGGGCTGGAGCCCAGGCGCGGCGAGCACAGCAGCAGCAGCTCGGGGCCCAGGCGGGGCTCGGGCAGGAGCCCCTCGGGGCCGGGCTCGGTCCTGCTGCGGGGCAGGCGCGGCGAGGGCTGCAGGCTGTGCCGCTTGGGCGGCGGCGGGCTGTGGTTCTGGAACCTCACCGTCTTCACTTGCTGCAGCGAGAAGGGGGCCAGAGTCAGGCGGGGGCTGCGGAGCTGCCCGCCCGCCTGTCCCTGGGCACCGCGGGGATGGGCTGGGTGTGCGGGGCACAGCAGGCGGGCAGGGCAGCCCAGGGTGATGCCCGGTGGTGGCAGGGGCAGAGAGCCCCGGGGAGCAGCGCTGGCAGCTCAGGGAGAGCGGGTCTGGGAGCGGGAGGCAGCGCAGCACCAGGAGATCCTGCTGATGCTGAGCTGCCTGCGAGCTCTGAGGTTGGCTCCTGGGGGCATGTGGAACGATTTGGGCACGTCTTTGGGTACTGTGGGAAAGGGAAGCTGTCACAAGGGCAATTTTCAGAATGATTTTACCTTTATGGAATTTCTCTCTAGCTGCTAAAAAGGAAAGAAATGCCCATTCCCAATGGCTCAGCCCAAGTGACATGAGGGAGATGGGGGAGTTCTGCAAAGCTCTGCCTGACACCAGCTCTGTGGAATTTGCTCCCAAGCTCACCGATTCTTGCCCAATTTATGACCTCAGAAAAGTCTCGAGATTTGCTTGTGACTGAGCTTGGTGGCAGGGACAGAGCCCCTGCAGCGCCCTGCCTTTCCCCAGGGCTTACTCTGAGCAGCTGCACCGGCAGCACCAATACCCGATTTCCATGGGAAGGAATCGCTGAGGATGGAGCAAAGCCCTGGGGCTTTGGCCCTGTCGCTGCTGGCTGGGGGATGCCCTGGGGATGCCCTGGGGATGCCCTGGGGCACGGGCGGGTTCTGGCCGTACCTTTTCGGCGCTGTTGCGGGAGGATTCTGGTTTCACCAGGATGGACGGCGGGGCTGACGCCGGCGGCTTCGGGGCTGCCTCGCTCTTCACCGAGGGCTCTTTGGCGTCCAGGATCACCGAGCTGCACACGGAGGGGCTCCGGCTCTCCCCTGCCCTGACCAGCAGCGCCGGTGCAGCCTCATAGGAGGGGCTGGGCCTCGTCGTCTCGTCCGCGCTGGGGATGCTGTGCGGGTAGAGCTGGAAGTGCTGAGCTCGGCCCGCAGCCGTGGGACGCCTGAGGGAGCCGGTGATCTGCACGGGGGTGCCTGCCTGCCCTGGCCTCTGCAGGGATCCGTCTGGGGAGCAAGGAGCGCGGAAAGGCATTTAGTCAGGAGTCCAAAATGTGCAGAGTGAGCAGCAGTTACAGCAGTGGTTACAGCCCCGCACCACCAGCCCTGCTGACAGCATGCTGTGTGTGGGGCTGCAGCCCCGGGGGTCACCCTGTGCCCACCCCTGTGCCCCGATTTCGGTGTAAAAGCACTGCCAGGGGCCCCTGCCCGGGCACTGCTGCCCCCAGGGGCTGCTCTGCTGCCAGGGCTGGGAACACACGCCTGGCTCCCAAACACTCTCGGAAGTGCATTACAAAACAGCGTGTCTGGGATGAAGATAAACCTTGCGGCCTCCTTGTAGGGAGTACAACCGCCCAGCTCGGCACAAAGCTTTGCAAGGGGTTTTTCCAGGCTGAGTCACAGCCCCTGGAATTCCCGAGCGGGACCATTAACCCAGCAGCTGGGGTGTTTTTTGGGAACGTGTCCCCGCTCCCCCAGGCCCGCACTCACTCCTCCTGGCGCTGCCGCGGCCGCGGCGCAGCGGGGCCGGTGCCAGGCGCGGGGAGGGCACGGGCACGGGCACGGGCACGGGCAGCAGCAGCGGCCGCAGCGCCCGGCTCTGCCGCGGGCCGCCCTCGGCCGCGCTCCCCTGCGAGGACAGCGAGGAGGTCGACAGCGTCCACGAGGTGTACAGGGCAGGCATCTTCGAGTCGGACAGGCTGGATTTCCTGTTGGAGAAGAAGGGCGAGGGCTGCCGGGTGCCATCCCGCCTGGAGAGGGACCCCTGGCCCTGCTCAGCTCTGGGGGGTCCCTTGTCAGCACGGGGGGGATGCTTTGCCGTGGGTTCTCTGTGGAAGCAAGAGCGCCCCAAGTTCTACGTGTTACCCCCTTCCCTCTCCCCGTTTTGGTTTTCTGTAAGTGCCAGACCTGAAGAGGGGAGCGACGTAGTTGCTGGGGAAGAGGCCGACCCTGCCGGTGACGAGGGACATGCCCCGCAGCCACCCGTCCTGCTCCTTGCCGAAGACACGGACCCCTTCTCCCCTCTGCAGCTCCAGCTCGTCCGGGCCGTGCGCCGCGTAGGAGTGGAGAGCCACGCACCTGGGGAGAGAGGGCATGAGGGGAGGCAGAACTGCCCCCGGCGGGGCATGCAGCACCCCGGAGCCCCGCGGTGTGACCCTGCAGGGGGAGGATGCTGCTGGCCCTGCCTGGAGCATCCCGGAGCTCTGGTGTGACCCTGCAGGGGGAGGATGCTGCTGGCTGTCCCTGCAGCCTCCTCAGCCAGTGCTGGGTGCTGCCTAGCAGGGAGGAAACAGCCTGGCACCTCAGGCCAAAGGGGACATGGATAAAAGAAGAGCCAGCAGGAATGGGGAACCCCAGGAGGGTGGTTTCTGTCCCAGAAGTGCCAGCCCAGGGTGTCAAATGTTGTGGGGAGGAAGCTGCTGCTCTGCACCTCACACAGCCAGTGCTCCATCAGAAACACGGATCAGGGCTGACAAGTGCCTGTCCTAAGGCAAAGCTCTTGAAAGAGCACAGTTATGGTGCTCAAGATAGCATCAGGCAATTCTGCCTTTGTAGCCAGAGGCCTGGATCTGCTTGCCTGGAGCATCACCAGGAGGTGTTGGAGGCCAGGGAAGAGCACCACTCTTGCCATGCCTTCCTTCCTCCCTCCCTTGCTCCCTGCCTCCTTCTCCTTGAGTGGAACAGGAGTCCCAGCCACTGGAGGCCATGGAGAATGGACAGAGCAGGAGGCAGGAGGAGGTACATGACTCCACTCCAGGGCAGTGAGGAAATCAGACCAGAAATTAGTCTGAAATCCCCCCTAGACCTCTCTTTTGTGATTCTGGGATTGGGACCAAGGGCTGAAGCTTTGTTCTTCTCTCTGACCCACACGTGAGCACACAGCAAAACAACAGCAAAAGCAAATAGTGTATTTCTCAAAACTTTTCCCTATCTGTTCCTTAAAGAACTTGAATTTGTCTCCAGTGTAACACATTTAATTGCACTGTTGTTTTTTTCAAGGGGAACGTGATCTGCTCCAAGAATCAGTGAGTTACAGCCCAACACGCCAGGTATCAGGTGTTATTTACAAAACAAACTACAGACAGGTGTCTGGACAGGCAGGGCTACCCCAGAACTCTTAGAAGGGTTTCTCTCCCCCTGTTCCGCACAGGCCTCTGAGGGTTTGACCTGCTGGGTGGGTGTGTGAGGGGGCTCCCTGGGGCTGGCTCAGCCCCGCTGGGCTTGGGGTGTCCCTGCTCAGGAGCCACCTCGAGGGGAGGCTCTGCTCTGACACTGCACCCGGGCAAGCCAGGCAGCTGCTGGATGCTCTCACACCACCCTTCTGCAAATTATTTTAAGGCCTTGGGAGTTCTCTTGTCCTTTGGGCTTTTTGTGTGCTGGAGTCTTGGCTGGCTGATGTTGGTGTGTGTGGGTCCCAGCACTGAGCTGAGCTGAGGGTGCTGCTCTGGGCATTCCCACAGCCTGGCCCTGCACCAGGGGTGCTGGGTGCTAGTAAACAGCGTGCTGTGATGCTGTTGTTATTTTGGATGCTTTACTAAAGTGCCAGGGTGGTGAATCTCATTTTGATGTAATCATCACAGAGCATTATCTGCAAATTTTAACTCTGTGAAAGTTTTCAGAAATTGGATTGTTCAAAACACCAGTGGCCATGAAGGTTTCAGGATAAATAACTAGAGGCACTTAAGGAGTAATTAGTTTCTTTACACTTAAATAAAATTAAAATGCATTATGGACAAACAGACAGAGCTGTTTCTCCACAGAAGCTGCAGTGAGGCACAAGGATTCACTCAGCTGTGGTGTCAGGTCTCTAAGACCAGCCAGGCACACTCCTGCTTGGATCTGCGCTGGGATCCAGGCTGTGCTCTGCTCTGCCTGCACCTCCTGCCTGGCAGCAGCAGCTCGGGGTGAGGCTGCAGCAAACCACACCCCAAAGCACCCCAGTTCCCTTACGTACAGGTAAGCTGGCCCGTGGTGCTGCAGGTGGGGAAGGGTCACGATGGCTGCCGGGGGCCCCAGGGGTGCTGCTGTGGGGTAGTAAGAGGTGCTGACCTGTGGGAGAAAGGAAGCAAAGAAAACAAGTTATTAATCTGGTTATCAGCTCCTTTCAGCCACTGCAGGAGCAGCTAACACTTGACTGGCTTCACCCACCCTTCAAAAAACCACCAGAGACCTTCCAGGAAATAGAAGAGCCTGGAAAATTTGACTTAGAGAAAGACCAGGCAGCAAGAGGAAGACCCAGAATCACGGAGTCATTTAGGCTGGAAAAGACCTCTGGGATCATGGAGTGATCCCCACCTGGTCCTTTCCCCAGTGTGTTTGCACCTGCAGAGAGGTACCAGCCACCACAGTGTCCCCTCCGGGCTGTCACAGGGGTCCCTGGGGTTCCAGGGAGGAGCTGCAGCCCCGTTTCTGAGGTCACTGTGCCTTCAGCTGTGCCAGAGGGTGGCTCCTTGTCCCCCCCTGAGGCCACGAGCAGCGCCGGGCTGCTCCACTCCCTGTGCTCCTCATCTCCAGCTGGGCTGATGATGATGATGATGCTGTCCCCCCGAGGGGGTCTCTGAGGAGAGGTGTGGGCTCTTGGGTGTCCTGTGCCAGGATCTGCTGAGCATCCAGCCACGACCCCCGACCCAGGGCCTGCCTGGGGGTGTTTCTGTTCTCCTTCCGAGTTTGGTTTTGTGTCCCTCGTGCTTGCTGGGCTCTGCAGGGTCCCAGCTACCAGACGTGTGGGTCTGTGCCACCTGGGCACACTCTTTGTGTCCCTCTGCCTTTGCCCTCCTGCTTGCATTGGCGCTGGCAGCACAGCAGCCCTGGGCTGGGGAGATGGAGCACGCCGTGCAGGCAGCAGGAGGGAGCAGGAGGGAGCAGGAAGGAGCAGGAGGGAGCAGGAGGGAGCAGGCAGGGAGCAGGCAGCCCGGCATTCTCGGGACGCCCTTCCTCCTGCCGGGCTGTCCCTTATACACAGCCGTCCCTTTTCCCAGGCTGTCCCTCCTTGTCGGTCTGTCCCTTCTCTCGGTGTGTCCCTTCTCTCGGGCTGTCCCTTTTCCCGGTCTGTCCCTTCTCTCGGGCTGTCCCTTTCCCCGGTCTGTCCCTTTCCCCGGGCTGTCCCTCTTTGTCGGTCTGTCCCTTTTCCCGGGCTGTCCCTTTTCCCGGGCTGTCCCTTCTCTCGGTCTGTCCCTTCTCTCGGTCTGTCCCTTTCCCCGGGCTGTCCCTTTCCCGGGCTGTCCCTTCTCCCGGTCTGTCCCTTCTCTCGGTCTGTCCCTTTTCCCGGTCTGTCCCTTTTCCCAGTCTGTCCCTTCTCTCGGTCTGTCCCTTTCCCCGGGCTGTCCCTCTTTGTCGGTCTGTCCCTTTTCCCGGGCTGTCCCTTTTCCCGGGCTGTCCCTTCTCTCGGTCTGTCCCTTCTCTCGGTCTGTCCCTTCTCTCGGTCTGTCCCTTTCCCCGGGCTGTCCCTCCTGCAGCACAGGGTGACTCCCCGGGCTGAGCAGCTGCGGTGGGGAGCCAGCCCTGCCCGGGCCGCAAGGCGCCGGCCGTGCCCGCAGTGCCCGAGCCGGTGCCAGCGTGGCCTCTGCCGGGGCAGAGCGGCCCGGGAGCGCGGGGCAGCGGAACGCCGCCGGGATGCGGCTGCAGCCGCGCTCCCCAGCTGCGACCGCAGCATCTAGTGATGCCAGCCGGACTTTAATCTCGTGTTCGTTTCAAATCTAATTTCTAGTGGTCATGTCTGTAAAGCGGTGCTGGAGCACTGGCTTGGCAAGGACCTCGGGAAAAAGAAAAGTGACTCACCCGCTCTGGTGCTCTCCAGTAAATTAAATTAATTAAAACACCCCAGCAATTCCGCTTCTGTCTCGGACCTGGTCAGCTTCAAACCCTCTCTGCATTCCTCGTTTTCTAGTCCAGGCAGGATTGGACCAGGTGCTCATAAAGTTGACTGGAAATTATAGTTCTGTTTTATTAATTACCATGATGCTTGAAATTTGGATATTTGGAGCTTCTTTTTTCCACATTGGAACAAAATGACAGCCTTTTGCTGGTTTTTCTGATGGAACTGTGTTGAAGTGTTTCTTTCTGGGTGGCAAGCTCCATGTTTTTCACCTCTGTGTTCCCCTGTGCCTGGGAGCAGCCATCATTTAGAGCATCCTCAAAGCTGCCTTTGCATTTGCAGCATGCAGAGGGGAAAAAAGATGGGGAGAAATATTTTCGAGCCACGTACAACTGATTTCAGCGCACTTGCTGATCTCCCACGAGCACCTAGTAAGTACGGAGGGTTTAATTCCCTGCCTCTCCCGAAATCCCTCTCTGGCTCCATCTCCCTTTCCGGCGTGTCCCCGATGTGTCCCGGCTGTGCTGACACAGGCAGGTCCCCGCTGGGAGTGTCCCTGATGGAGTGTCCCTGACGGAGTGTCCCTGCTGGCAGTGTCCCTCCTGGAGTGTCCCTGATGGAGTGTCCCTGCTGGGAGTGTCCCCGATGGAATGTCTCTGCCGGCAGTGTCCCTGACGGAGTGTCCCTGATGGAATGTCCCTGATGGAATGTCTCTGCCGGCAGTGTCCCTGCCGGTGCCACCGCGGGGCTCCGGGCACGGGCCCGCCCGGCTCCCCTCGTTCGTGGCTCGGTGTAGCGGGGTGTGCTCCCTTCCCTTCCCTTCCCCGGGCTGCAGGGCACAGCACAGCTCGGTGTGCCCGGGAGAGATCCCAGCGGCGCAGAGGGAGGGCGTGGGTGCCCCGCTGCCCTCGCCCCGCCGCCGCTTGCACAAGCGGCACAAGCACAGGCACGGCAGCCCTGCAGACCGGTTCTGGCTCCGGCCGAGCCCGGCTTGGCAGCCGGGGGGAAGCGGAGCCGGAGGAGGAGGCTGGGGCAGCGCTGGGAATTCCCTTTACGGGCGAGCGGAGTCCGTCCCGGGGCTGGTGAGGGATGCCAGGCAGGCAGAGCCGCGGTGGAGCCCTGCAGCCCCGGCACAGCCCCTGCCCCGCTGGCTGTCCTGGCTGCAGCCCCTGCTCCCTCGGCTCCCCGCACCCTGGCAGGGATACCCGGGCTTGGAAGGGATCTCACTGCAGCTCGGTCACTGCAGCCCAAACCCAGGGGCAGAGAAGGAAAGCTGCATCTGTGCAGCCCAGAAATGGCACAGCTGAACATCTGGGAGCAGCACTGCTGATGGGAAACAAGCGATTTCCAGCCCTTGTACGGCCCAACCATGACATGTCCCCTCTCTCGTTTCTGCTCTTGGCAGTGGTTCACACCGAGACTTTCGGGAAAGACCCTTTTGGGGGTGTGAGAGAGGATACAGTTCCAGCTGAACTGTGGAACTCCTGCAGGGTTTGCTTTCCCCTCTGTAAGCCGGGATATCACATCCCAGCTGTCTGCAGGCTGGTGCCCAGGACAAGGAGCCGGCTGGGTGTTCCTGCCTGGACACTGCCAGGGGCTGGGTGACTTCTCTAAAAAAGGCTGGAGCAACCTTCACTATGAAAGAGGTCATATAAATGTAAAACCCCCTTTTCCTCCCATACCAGATATCTGTGAAGATTCTGTGCTCAGACCTTCAGCCAGAGGGGGCAGAAGGAATGAGACTCGCTGCCTGGAGCGGATGAACTCCACAAGGCCAGCCTGGGTGCCAGCCCAGCCCGGGCTCAGGGTGCCCCAGGGTCACCCCGGGCTGGGGCTGAGCCCTTACCTGGAGCGGGGGGCCGCAGGGCAGCTCGGCTTTGTCGCTGCTCTGGGTGGGCACGCTGGGGTTGCTGGAGCTGATGAGCACGGGGGAGCTGATGTGCAGCGCGGGGCGCTCGGCGGGCGCGTGCACCATGCGGTTCAGGGTGTTGAGGGCCGTGGTGATGGAGAACTGCCGCAGGCTCTTGCGCCGGGCCTCGGGCGCCTTGGGGAACGCCGCCGGCTCCGCCGCCTTGGCCTTGGCGCGCAGGGACGCGCCCTTGGGCGGCGGCGACCAGCGGCCCTTGGCCTGCAGCAGCTGCTGGGGGCTCGCCTGGAAGAGACAACACGAGGCACGGAGGGGTGTCAGGAGTTACCCCACACAGCCCTCCTCTGCTCCGCTCCCCTTGCCTCTGGCAGCGGGGGTCAGGTGCTTTACACTCTCCTTTACACTCTCCCCTGACACTCTCCTAGTCCAGAGCTTTGGCTGGCAGAGGTGCCAGGAGAGCTGTACGTGATAACTCTGACTCTGGATTAGAAGGGATGTTTGGACTCGTTGCCCTTTCCCTGTCTGTGCTGGCACACGTGGGTGCATCTTGCAGCTGAGGGTATGGCACAGGCTCAGAGAGGCCCTCACTGATGCTGGCATTCCCAGCAGGATTACATCCACCCAGTTCCACCTCTGCCAGCCTGAACATTCATGGCTTGATGCTGCTTCCATTGAAAACCCCTGGCTTGTCAAGGACTGGGGCTGGTGAGGGAGAGGCAGGCCCTGAGTTTGCATATGGGCACTGTTCACACAGAACTTCTTGGAAACTGCTGATCAGGGTGTTAGTAGCAAAGGGCATGTGGTGACAGCGTTCGTCACCACCATGGTGCCAGAGGAATTAATCATGATTTACTGCTGACATTAATGAATTGCAAAACCTGAGATTCTCACCCACTCGTGGGAGGCAATGTGCTCAGTGCCTGGGATGGACAGGGAGACCATGGCAGGGGAGGTACAGGTGGCTCTAGATGTTGACATTTACAACAGGGGTGGTTTTCTCATTTCCCCTCTCCAAAATAAGGCTTAAAGCCCACAGTGTGTATGTAGGTACACACGTGCCATGGCCATCCTGTCATTTCTGTGTGTGTGCAAACTGGAAATGTTTTTCTGCCTATCTAAATCCCAGGAGACATGATGAAGTGGGGCACAAACTGCATGTCAGAGCCAGGAGAGCCTCGTGTCTCCCACAGTAGCCCTGCCTTTGCCTCCTCTAGAATTAATTTCTAATTCCTTGGTGGCTGTATGTGTCCCTTAACTAACTTGTGTCTCTCAACGCCAGACTTGAATAAGTCATTATTAAAGCTAGAATGATTTCATTAAATGAAAAGTCATTTAAAAAAAAAAATATTAGAGCTTCAAATAAGATGTTTTGCTTGTGTCCTCCTATAAAACAGCCGCAAAGCAGAGCTTGCTGTAATTATGGGCATTACAAGTATTAATTTTATTTCTAGGAACTGGTGCCAGTGCCATGTACACCCTGCATCTCAAGGTAAACTGCACAGCAAAATTAATGTCTAGACCGGAGTTCTGCCAGGGAGGGGGGGCTGGAATGTCTCTGGGGCTGTCCTGAGTGCCCTGTGAGCACAGAGCTGGCACTGGCTGGGGCCATCCCCCTCCCTCTGTCACCCTGATATTATCTGTGATAAGGCTGAACTGTTCCTTCAGCAGCCAGAGTGATGCTATCGAATGTATTGATGCTGTTTGGCAAAATGCCTCCCATCCCTGAAAACAACGTGTTTAAAGCTTTTTACATCCTGTGTGAAAAAGGAACAGCTGTCCTCTCTCCCAGGTACCGCTGCATCACCAGCACACGGAGAGAGGCTGTGCAGTGGCAGTGCCAGGGCAGGGGTGTCTGGGGGAGCCCGGGGTACCTTGGGGAAGGTCGGCGTGTCCCTGCTCCCCGCCTTGTCGCGGCCCCGCAGCTCCAGGCTGTGGAGGGGGCGCGGCAGGGGCAGCTGCGGGAGGACCTGCACCGAGCTGGCCGGGAGCACGCCGCTGCTGCCGTTCAGCTCGCCCAGGTACCAGTCGTCGTCCAGCTGCCGCAGCAGCACGATGGTGTCGCCCTTGTTGAAGCGCAGCTCCCCGGGGTTGTGCCCGCGGTGCGTGTACAGCGCCCTGGCTCGCGGCACCTGCGGGGACGAGAAACAGCCCCTGCAGCCCGGCTGGCACCGCCGGCCTCCCCAAAGCACCCCGAATTCCTGAGAACAAAATGCAGCCGTCTAAGGCTTAAGCATGCATTTATTAGGATTAGCTACCCACATCCTTCCTTGATGGGTTGCACTAATGAAGACAAGCTCCCAAATACCTATGCTAAGTTTGTATCAAGATGAAAAGCAGGCTGGACTTGTTTAAGAATATTAAGAAACAGTTAAGGCCTTAAACTGGTCTTCCCATGGGATCCTATTGCCTGCTATAAGGGGCTGCTCCAGCACAACATCTATTTTAATGGCCCAGGTATTTCTATTTCAGAGGGACTGGAGGTCACAGCCATCACCCAGCCGAGCTGTGATCTGCCAGGAGACGGCAGCAGAGCAAGGTGAGTGCAGGTTCTGTGCTCCCCTGGCTCCATCCCTGCTGTGACAGTGTGACTGTGGTTTAATCCAGCCTTTCCTGGGTGCTGGGAAGGGCTGGGCTCATGTTACCATTGCTGCAGTGTAACGTGACACAGAAGAGACATGGCAAACCCACAAGAGATGCAGGGACTTGTGATCTTGACTGTGAGCCAGAGGAAATGGCCAAGTTGCCCTAGGAGAGCTGCTGTGCTGTGCCCTGCCTGTCCCTGAGCTCTGCCTGGGGCTCTGCTGTCCCTGCAGCGAGGGCTCCGGGCAGGCTGCAGCCCCTCCTCAGGGACAACCCAAATGCTGAGCCCCCTTCTACCCTCTCAGGGATAACCCAAATGCTGAGCCCCCTTCTGCCCCCTCCTCAGGGATAACCCAAATGCTGAGCCCCCTTCTACCCTCTCAGGCATAACTCAAATGCTGAGCCCCCTTCTGCCCTCTCAGGGACAACCCAAATGCTGAGCCCCCTTCTACCCTCTCAGGCATAACCCAAATGCTGAGCTCCCTTCTGCCCTCTCAGGGATAACCCAAATGCTGAGCCCCGTTCTGCCCTCTCAGGGATAACCCAAATGCTGAGCCCCCTTCTGCCCTCTCAGGGATAACCCAAATGCTGAGCCCCCTCTGCCCCCCCCTCACACATAAACCAAATGCTGAGCCCCCCGTTCTGCCCTCTCAGGGATAACCCAAATGCTGAGCCCCTTTCTGCCCCCTCCTCAGGGATAACCCAAATGCTGAGCCCCGTTCTGCCCTCTCAGCTGGGCACAGCTGTGTGAGCTCCTCGCTGGGCTGGCCCTGGCTCTGGAGCCGTGGCCAGCTTTAGGCTGAAGTGCAGTGCCCAGGGACTCGAGGCTGCTCAGCTGCTTCCTGCCCGGGCTCTGCAGCTCTGGATTGTCCTTCTCCTCTCTCCAGGCTGCCAGGTGCTGTGGCATGGTGAGGACAGTGCCCTGCAGCTTCTGCAAGCCACAGTCACCCCTCCCACTCATCTCACAGCAGGTTTCTGTGCCAGTGACACTTTCCAGATTTCCTGCCTTTGCCTGTGCATTTCCCCAAACCCAGCTGTGCCTGTGGCCAGGGCTCAGCCAGGACTCCTGCAGAGCTCCCTCAGCCACTCTTCAGAGGTCGGGAAGGTAGAAGCAAGAATATCAACCTTAGTTTCCAGAAGTGTGGAAAAGATTGAATTTGCCATGGAAATAGTTCAGTTTTTGGAAAGAGGGCATCTTCCAGCACCCCCAAACCCTGATGCCTGGTAAGGAAAAGGAACCAAGAAGAGAAAAATCTCATGTACTGCTTTTACTTCAAAGTCTTTGAAATGGGAAGCAATTAGTTTAATGTTTAGTTCTAATTAAGTCATTCTCTGTCTTAATTTGTGCTCAGAGTAAACACATGTGCTTGGCTCAGTGACACCACCAGCACATTGCTGGGAGAAAGGAAAGGGGCAAGGGAGGCTTGGCCAGTGCTGCTCCCACCAGAAAACCAGGATCACATCCGTGGGGCCACGGAAACTCCCTGCAAACACACACCTGGGCAGGTGAGCTTGCCATGGGGAGAACGGGCTGGGGACAGCAGCTCTCCTCCAGAGCCACGCTGGGAGCATGGCACGAGGAGCACGGGGCTGGCACTGCCCAGGAGCACCAGAGAACAAATGGGACCTTCACAGGGTGAGAACAGGGCTTGGGGAGGAGGAGCAGCAACGTCTGGGAGTGAGGGGACGGCAGGATGCAGCAGAACATTAAAGGCAGCATGAACGGGTTATGGAAATGCGTTAAAAGGAAGAGAAACCATGAAATGAAATGAAATGCATGCCAGGTGCTAACTGGGAACGGGGAGCAAGCAACAGAGTGCTGGGAGCCTGGAATGTTCTTTCTTCAGCAGGCAAGGGGGTGAGACGGGCAGGCTGGGATAAACACCCAAGCCCAGGTGGGACAGGAGTTTGTGGGGGCAGCTCTGGCTGACACATCCCTCCATGCGGGCTCCTTCTTCCTCTAACCACACTCACAACCTGCAGCTCTTCCCCTCCTCTTTAACCCTTTCCTCACACTTTTCTGCCCTTTCAAATCTCCCAACCCAAGTCAGCTTTTCCCAAAGTCCGTAGGTTTTGATAATTTCAATTTTTTTTAAATAAATTCTGTTTGGTTTCTCAGATACTGAGCCAAAAATATCCCATCAATTTCCTAACTTCATGTAGGACAAACTAAGCCTTTACCTACCCACAGGCAGCAACTGAAGTGCCCTGTCACAAAATAAAGCTGCAAGCTGGGGATTTCAGAAGGACACACATAGTCATGTGTGCAAAACACACATGTTTTTAACATGTTTGTAGGGTGTAGGAGAGAACTCCTGAGCCCTGCAGTGCCAGGCACGGAGCTGGAGCTGGGGTGGGCCAGCAGAGCCCCTGGGTGGGCAGCCAGGGCCAGCATCTCCCTGCTGTGGCTGCAGCTCTGAGCCTCTCACCTGGGCTGGTTTCTGCCCACTCCCGGCTGCCCCAGATCCTCTGCGAGCGATCTGTTTTGCTTTATTCAAAGTAGGTTAATTGCAAAGGCAGAAACCGGGGTGCTAATTAAGCTGTGATAAGGACAAGGAGTGCCTGGGGGTGGCTGAGGGCAGAGGGCGAGGCTGTGCCGGGCCGGAGCGTGGCCCTGGCAGGGGAGCAGGACCTGCTCTGCTCGGTGCAGCCTCTCCTGCCCGCTGTCCAGGCGCTTTTCGGCAGCCCAAAGCAGCATTTCGGTGCAGCAGGGGGGCAGTGGCAGCACACTGTCCAGCCAAGGGCTGCACACACGGCCAGTCCCTGGGGCACGCTGGGCTGGGCAGCCCGCAGAGGAGCTGGGAGCAGCTCTGTGCAAGCTCAGCTGCAGGCTGCTCCAAGTCTGTGTGCAGTGTTGCTGCCAGCAGCAGCAGAGAGAGAGAAACCACAGCGAATTTTCGGCAGCCCAAAGCAGCATTTCAGTGCAGCAGGGCAGTGGCAGCACACTGTCCAGCCACGGGCTGCACACCCGGCCAGTCCCTGGGGCACGCTGGGCTGGGCAGCCCGCAGAGGAGCTGGGAGCAGCTCTGTGCAAGCTCAGCTGCAGGCTGCTCCAAGTCTGTGTGCAGTGTTGCTGCCAGCAGCAGCAGAGAGAGAAACTACAGCGAGGAAACCCATGGTGGGGGTGCCTGTCACTTTTCAGCGCTGCCTCACTGTTCCTGATTTTCCCCTCTGTTTTCTCCTCCATCACGCCCCAGTGAGACCCAGGAGTCACTTCAGGCTCCCAGAGCAGCTGAGCCCCAGGTGCCCCTTGCCTTGGGGTGCCTGGAGAGAGCGTGGGGAGCCTGGGGAGAGAAGGCAGCAGGGAATGCCGGGTGTGGGGCAGAACCCCTTGCATCAGCACTGCCTCTGGGGGAGATGCTTTCTGTCCTTGGCCACTCTGCCAGCAGGGATGGTCGTGGCAGATGCACTTCAACTCCTTGTCCCCATTCTCAGTGGATTTGAGGCCAATAAGGGAGAAAAGATTTTATTTTTTTACTATTTTTGGCATTTGGCATCGGTTGTGTTGGGCAGCCATCCAATGCCTTTGAGTCTCCCTCTGCACAAAACAAAGATTAAAAATACGTCTATGAGTGTGAGGAAGCAATGTGGGGCATCTCTTCCTAGCAGAGAAGTGCACTCTGTGGCTGTCTGAAACGAGCTGAAATAACTCCTCACGGCTGGCACAGGGGACCCACGAACGACCCCTGCCCAGGGCAAGGGAATCCACAAAAGAGAGAAGGAGCAGCAGCAGCGTGTGCCACTGGGGTGGGGATCACTGGCAGCAAACCAGGAGCACGGGGAGGAGAGGCTGCAGAAGGCAGCTGGAGTGCCCCTACACCTTGTCCCAGGCTCCCTTTGAGCCCACCCCAGGGAGCAGGGGTGCCAACAGCAGCCTGGGTCCCCCAGGGCAGGCTGAGGCCAGGAACGTGTCTGGGCTGGAGCCCCCAGCCCCGAGCCCGTGTCACACAGCTGGTGACACCCGTGGGACCCTCCTGAGCCCCCTGCTCGACCCCTCCAGCACTGCCAGCAGAGGGACAGGATGGACCATGGGACAAGCACAGGGACCCCGGGACAGCTCCTCGCTCTGCAGGGACACAGCTCCCCGAGCCCCAGCTGCTGTCCTGCTGGCTGCAGCGGGGATGCTGCTGCCAGATGCACCAGCAATGCCTCAGTCGGGTTGGCACCGGTGCTTGCCCAGCTTTGACTGTCCTAACCCCGTGCAGGAACGCCCTGGAGCAGCTTCCCCCGTGCCTGCCCTGCTGGATGCCTCTCAGTGACCCCAGGGGACTGGTCCCAGCCTGGGTGTCACGGGAGCTGCCCCACAGGACAGGACAGCCCCGGGCACTGGGAATGTCTCCCCTTAGGCAGGCAGTGAGCCCAGCACAGATCTGAGGGCTCAGCCCCTGCTCTGGTGAGCTGTGGCTGGCACTGAGCCCCTGCAGCTGGCTGTCACCCACCACTGACCCCGAGGGACGTGCACACACTGCCTTTTGATGCAGATATCAATAACATCTCCATCCCCTCTGATTCCTCAGAGCTGCCTCCAACATCCTGCCACGACTGCCCA